AAGTATGTATATATATAACTTTATATTAGTAATTAAATAATATAAAAATTTTACTAATATTGTTTGTAGTAAAATATTAGAGAATTAAGAAATTTATTGAAGGTAAAATAATATTAAAGTAATTTAAAAATATAAAATACTACTGAAGTTAAGAAAGATACCAAAGTGATTTAAAAAATAATATAGTAAGAAAAATGTTAAAAAAATCTAAAAATAAAAAGAATTCAAGTAGAAGGTTTTTTATTCAATTTATTTTACTTTTATTTTTGTTAAATTACAGCTTAGATAATAATTAATAGGCTATACACCTTATCTAATGATCTGCATCTGAGGTATATCAGCTGTGATCTGAAGCAAGAATTAGTCAAAGTATAATATATTGTATATAGAATAAAGTCAATAAAAATGAGACAAATTTATTAGATAGATTTGTTCTATTTCTATTAACTTCATCCCATATATTGTATTTAATTTTTATTTTATTATATTAAATTATAAATTTAGACTACAAATTTTAAATATTTTAAGAGTAAAAGGTACACAAATTACTTTTTATAGTAATTATATGATAGATCATTTTATAATAACAAATTAATTAAATCTACAGTATATGTTATTTATATTATACTATCTAGAAAAATTTTGTACTACTTAAAAAATTTTACTAGTAAACAAATTAGGTAATTGATATGTAATACTCTATTAGACATAGCTACTGCATCAATTTTGTTATGGATAATTCTCAATTTTGATTGGCTAACAGTTGTGATCTACAAAATTTTGGTTCACATTACATAATTGTTTATATAATTTTTGGCCAGAATTAACTTTTTAATTTTTTCATTTCCAAAATGAAAATTTTTAGAAAAATAGATCTATATAATAATAAAATTAGCTCAGGAATATTTTTTACTTAATGTACGGCTGTGGTTTTATTAGTAAAATTTTGAGTAACTTTGGTCTAAATTATTGATCACCACTCTTAGCCAATCAAAATCAAGAGATCATTGCTCATAGCTAATCAAAATCAAGAATTATCATAACAAAATTGGTGTAGCAGCTAGGTTCAATTAATACTCTCTACTCTTAAATAAGTTATTATCTTAAATTTGTTATATTGATATGATAAATTCGAATTTGTCATCTTGACTTAATGTTAAGTGACAAATTTAAATTTATTACGTGACAAATTCGAATTTATCACGTGACAAATTCGAACTTGTCACATTGACGTTGAGTCGAGATAACAAATTTAAGGTACTCATCTAACAATTTTTCGATCATAAACCTTTTTTCATAATCAATCAGTGCATCATCTTAACTCAATGTTGATAAATTCGAGGTAATCTGATTATAAGGCCATTCATGTACAAATGCAAGATAATCTTCAATAATCATATGATTAAGGTTGATCGACCAAATATTCTGTGTCGTATATGTATTTAAATTTTTCCTCACCCCAAGTCTAAGCTCAAAATGTTGATGTTAAACAACTAATCAACTTTGAACGGCCTAAATATTAAAAGTAAGAAATCAATTATTTATTATTGCGTACAAGATACTAAAAGTACAAAGAATATAAGCATTACAAGTAAATATTTTTCTAATAAGTGTACCTGGTACACACTTTAGTTCTCTAAAATATCTTTTATTTCGAAAAACTAAAAAATTTTTCAAGTATTTTTTAGCTATTATCCCTATTTATATATATATTATTAGACTTAAATTAGCTATATACTATTATGTAAATATAGTAGTATAACAATATAAAAGTCTAATTAGAGTAACCCTGTTACTATAAGGTTACAAAAAGCTTATTTATAATCGTTATGTTATTTTTTGTCACAGTATCCAAAATAATCTACTAATTTCTAACTGTTTAATTTTTACAAAGATCTGGGTTTTATGTTTGAAAAATTAATATTAGATTTATTTCAATTTCAATCCTGTTGTAACAAAAAATAATCTTCGATTATTTTAATTTGAGATATAGTAAGATCTGCAATTGAATAAAAACCATATGTTTTAATTCATCAAATTTTATTAACTCTAATTTTTTTAAATAAATTATATACAGTATTTGCTCTCTGTGTTCTTTTTTGTAAAGTTTGTAAATCAACATCTACAAGATGGGTTAAAAGTTCTCTATAGACTTTTAATTTTGCCTTGTTTGTAGTTATTCTAATATTATTTAATATTTTTTTTACTTGTTTTTCAAACCCTTCAGCATAATGATACCATGATAATATTTTAGCTTGGTTTGTATGCATTGCATATTCTTTATTACGATTTGCTTTATTATATAGTAAAGCCAAGCCTGATGTTGTATCATTTTTCTCAACACTTTTTGTATCATCTTCACTACTACTAATTTCAGATATATCATCATCATTAACAGGAGTTTTTAATTGCTTGAAAATTTCTCAAAAATTTTTATCTTTTCTTATCACAGATGAAACGGACGAAGTAGATGCTACTGATATAATAGATTCAGTATATATATATTCGTTATGTATAGATTCAGCATATATAGGTTCAATATATATAGATTCAATATATGGGGGTGAATTAGTAGAAACGCACCATATCTTTTTAATGAATTTTTTGTAAATCTTCAAATAAAAATAACTTAGCAAAAACTTAATCAAATTTAGTAAAAATTTTTTTAAATAAATTCTACGTATAAGTTTTAATTGGTTTAAAAAACATTTTATTAAATTTGATTAAGTTATTGTTGAGTTATTCTTGTTTAAAATTTTAAAAAGATTTATTTAGAAAAAATATGGTGCATTTCTGCTGACTCATTCCCATATGTAGGTTCAGTGTATATGGGTTCTGATACTACAGGTGTAATAGGTACCATGGATGTAGCGGATACTAAAGATGTAGATTCTGGAAACATAGTAAGTGCTAAAGGTATAGTAGATACTGTAGATGTAAATATAGCAGGTGTTATAAGCATAGTGGGTGTAGTGGATGCTGTAGATAATATAGGCATCGTAAGCGTAGTAGGTGCTGTAGATAATATAGACGTCATAAGCGTAGTGGGTGCTGTAGATAATATAGGCATCATAAGCATAGTGGGTGCTGTAGATGCTATAGGTATAATAAATGATATAGGCATCATGAGCGTAGTAGGTATTATAGTGGTAGTCAGTGTTTAAAATTCAAATCAAAAGTTATGTTCTTAAAAGAGCATAATTTAAATTTTTATTGTTCTCAAAAATTTTTAGTGTTCATTATATATTTAATATATTGAACATTAATTTTTAAAAAATGTTCATATTTATATTAGCTTCAGTATTGATTAATAAAACAATAAACAAAAACTCAATTTTTATTTTTATATAAAAAACATATATTGTTAGAGTATTAGTAAAGTAATAAATTTAAAATATTTTTATATTTAATTAGTAAAAATTAATACTAGAAATTTACAATAGACAAATAACAAAAATGAATAGAATTAAAAGCCAATAGAAAAATATATAATTATGATAAATCTAATTAGCTTCAAACAATATTGATATATATTATTTATTAATTTATAATGAAATCAATTCAAATTAATAAAATTACATAATACAATAAAAACTATTTAATTCTATGGTCAAGTTTGCACTATTCTTGGTATACTAATTGAAAATTAAACTTTTCTAACTTAGGCCCATTAAAAGAAATAAGAAGTAGATAATTAAGAGTATAAATACTCATATGATTTCTAAGTTTTGTTTTGATTAAATTTTGTCTAGAAAAAATTCGTTCAACAACTGCATTAGTTAAAGGAAGATTAATTAAAATAGAAATTAACTTTGTAGTTTCTGGATAAATTTCTTTAAAAGTAGAAAGATCTAAAAATATATGTTGCCATGCTTCTAAAAAATTTAAATTCTTATAATTAGTTAAAAGATATCTCACTGATAGCTATTCATGCTTTAAATTTTCAGAGTTTAATATTGCAGAAAATAAATTTTCTGATACATATTTATCTTGACCATAAAAATTACCCAAATTTCAATTTCATCTTCACCATAGTTTTGAAAATCTGAATTGTTAATTGGTAATGCTATTGGATCAAAAATATGAAATGCATCAATTTGAATTCGATTTGGAAATCTTTTTTCTAATGATTCAATTGTAGCATTTGCAAATTTTGCAATAATAGCTGGTAATTCTATTGTATTAATTTTATTATCAACTATGTATTTGCGTAAATGAATTCTCCAAGTTGGGTCAAGTATATCTGTTCCAAGAAATTGTACTTGAATAGTATAAATAGTAATATCAAGCTGAGTTTTTACTTCACGGATAGTAATATTATTTTTTTGAAAAAGAAGGTTCATTCATCTTAAAATTCCAAGAATATCAGCAAAAAATTTTGTAGTTATAATAAAATTTTGATCAATACTATCATATAGAGCTTTGGCAACTCTATTTTCATCTAAATCTTCAAGCAATGCATCAATTATAGAATTTAAAATTTGATGCAAGTTTTGAATAACATTTGATAATGACAACCAACAGGTTTCAATAATGTTTAAAACTGTAAGTTGTGGATCACCAATATTTTCTTCTATCATTTTGAGATGTATCATATGATCTACACTTCGTGAAAAATAACTATATATATTATGTACAGTTTTTCATATGATTTAAACTCTTCAACTTGTTTTGCAGCATCTTTTGCTGCTAATGCTAATTTATGTGAAATACAATGATGCTCTAAAATAAATAGATTTTTATTTTTAAGCTGAGTTGATATACCATTATGAATGCCTATAATTATTATAAAATTTAATTAAAAATTGTTATAAGTTATATATAAATAAAATTTAATATTTTACCTATCATTGTACTAGCACTATCAGTACAAATATGCATTAACTTATCATATAATATATTTTTTGCTAAAACAAATCGATCAATTTCTGTCATAATTGCATTTGCAGTACTATCTGTTAATGAGATTAATCCAAGGAACCAGTAAAGAGGTTTGGCTGGTGCAATAGTATGTTTTGAAACAATTGCTAAGGTTTTTTCATTTGAAATAGTATAACTTTCATCTATCATTATACTCCATCTATCTGAATTGCGCAATTCTTGAAAAACTTCTTGCTCTATAATATGACCAATTGATTCAATAAATTCACGAGCTGAAACATTATTTTGATAACTACCATATGGTGCTCATTCATCATCAATCAAAAAATCATTATTAAATATATTTAATATTTCAGTGCCACACTCAAATTGATCATGATTTTCACTACGTTGTATTTCAGATAATTTGCATAAACTTTCAAATATATTGGTAGACAAATTATGCTGAATTAAAAAATATATATTATACATATTTTTCATAATTTTTATTTGATCATTTCTAGCTTGAATAGCAAAACTAGAATCTAAAGTAACTTGAGATTGTATTTGTGCAGCACAAACCATTTCATGATCACTAGTATTTACATAATGATCCAAACTTTGTTTTTTAAAATAATCACAACCTTTAGTAAAATTATTATTTTTACCAGCTTCTTTACACCAATGACAAAACATATATTTATTTAATTGACCTTCTCTACGATAAACACAAGAGTATATTTTAGGCCAATTCGGATTCCAATTTAATGATTCTTTTGCTAATCGTGGCACTTTAAGTTGACGAGGATTATTTTCTTCTTCCGAAGTTGTAGAGGATTCATCATCAATATTATTAGCAGTAGTGCTTAATTGAGCAGCGATTGTAAATGGATTAATACTTAGATCAACAGGTTTGGTTTTACGATTTGACATACTGAAAATGATTATAATTATTACTTACAAACTTTAATTTTATATACTTGGTTACTGTTACTACCTAGACTAATTTGGTAAGCTAATATGTAACATGTTTCTTATAATAAACTTGTGGCTAACAGATTCTAAAACTTAAATCAATCTATCAATATAAGTATAGTCAGGTTATAAAAAAATGCGATCTTTTTGAAACTTCATTATTAAAGGTTTGTTGCTTAACTATAAAGTTAATATTTATTTGATATCTAAACTCATATCGGTATTGTGATTGTAAAGACAATTTCTATAAATAGCATACATATTAACATGTGCTCATAATAATACATGCTTTAATGCGATAAAGTGCTGATACTAATTATATTTATTCACAACTTTACTTCAAATAGTAAATATATAATTTATAAAGAAACGGTTAGTAAGAAAAAGTTTAGTATACATTTAAAGAGAAACTATTTCATAACAAAACTCTATACTCACGCACTAGTGGTTGAATACGTAAATGAATAAATCAATCCTGTTAATAATATGTAGCAATAATTCAAGCATGGGAATAAGCAGAGCATGTAAACTGGCACATTAAGTTAAATAAGTACAATTTAAGTTTTAATTAGTTGCCTATTTAGGTCAGTTATGGATTAATGACATATAGTTTGGTAGCATATAAAACAAGGTACACGATTTGAACAAATTGGTACCACTCAACTCGAGCCAAAAAATTCGCACCTGAACCCACCCATTTGCACAGAATCCTGCCATTTTGTGGCAGCTTAAAATTTTCATATCAAGCCGGCCTGCTTCGTGCAGTGTGGAAGACCACCGGCTGATGCTATGCATCACTGATGACAGCAATACTCGGCGCAATTATAATTGCTAATTTTCTGGGAGTATATCCCATCTCAGTTCATACGTCAATCGCACTGTCATACGCTGTTACAGTCACGGGAGAGACTTTAGATCTTCGTAGCCAATTTAGCAGAGGACTGTAAACATTAATAAGAAATGAACCAACTAATTTATTATCACAAAAGGCACCAAAGAGTACAAACAAATATTCCTATGTAGCGTCCCAGACACTCTTTCAATACTAATACACTTATTTCCCTAGCTACTTAGCAAGTTCCAAACTTCTAAGAGCTAACCACAAAACAATCCGAAAGATAAAAATCCACTAAAACTAAAAGACTTCTAAAAACTCAACCTTCCATACTAACGATCTATATGTCTATACTTATACATACAATTAAACTACAAATTAACTATTTACTATTTACAAGTATGTCGTATAACTATATAAAAGTCTAATTAAAGTATACCCTTTACTATAAACTTCGCTTAGACTATTATAGAGTTATACTATATATCTCATATGTTCCACAAGCCAAAGTTTAATTCTGAAACTTGGTTGCATCACAATGCTACATATTCTCAATAAAAAGTCATTCAATAAAGTTTAATATCTAGCATGGTGTAACAGAATAACACAACACACAACATACTTACCAGGAATTAAATAAACTAGGAAATAGGAACCATTGAAGTTCGGAGCCTAGATTTTTAAACTATTTTCTATTATTAATTTTACTTTGAATTTCAAAATATTTTATAATTTACTTATCTTAATCATTTAATTTATGTGCATTTTCTTCATAATTCGAGCCAGCTTACAAATAAATTCACCAGATTTGGATCAAACGCAAGAGACCTATAAAAAAGATATAGTTTAATAAATTAATAATTCAAAATATCACAATTATATAATAAAATCATTAAATAACATAATCCTGATTATAGAATTAGTTCGATCAAATAATTATCATAATTAATTATAACGAACAAAAAAAAGTGTTGAATATCTTGCACGCCTTCTTTGCATTTACAGTTATAATGATATGTATAGATCTTTGTATCGATATTACTATGTAAAATATCAATCAATCAATATACATACACATAATATATTAATTGAAATTATTAGTGTTAGTGTTATAAATATTGCTATATGACTCAACACAACGCGAATTCGGTTTTTGTTCCTTAGCTATTTTTAGCTCAACACAAAATGAATTCAGCTTTTGCTCAATTAGTTATTTTTAGTTCAACACAAAACGAATTTGGCTTTTACTCAATTAGTTATTTTTAGTTCAACACAAAACAAATCCGGTTTTTGCTCAGTCCGTACAATTTTTTCTTAACATAGCGCGAATTCAGTTTTTGCTTATTTTTGTTTACTCCACAGACAAGAGAGTGATTTTATAACAGCACTCCAATTTAACTCTGGTTGTAAGCATTAACATTAGAAAACCACTTATTTATTACTTAACAAATGTATCTGGTATACTAAGAGTCCTCTAAAATATCCCCTTATTCCAATTAAACTAAAAATCTAAAGTAATTTCTAACTACTATCCTTATTTATATACATATTATTTACAAATGTTATATTATTTTCATAACATTACTAAGATAATTATCATCAGGTGTATAAAAAATCTGCATGGCGAATATGAATTTAATTCTTATGTTTATAAATAATACAAAATAATTAAAGATCTATATTTTCTACAGGGGCACCTGTGACAGAGATCTGGACAGTAAGTCCTCCACTCCGCTCTGGACAATAAATAAAAATTAATTATGGAAATTATATTTCTTGATTTCAGCATCCCTGGATGCTGAAATAAGATACATGACAATCAATATGGCATATGTAGTAATAGATCAGTGACACACAAATTAAGTAAATCAGTAACATGCAAATTAATAGATGGTAATAAGTTAATTTAAAGTCATATATGATAATTAAATAAATATGGAGTTTGATCTTACAAATCGAACCTCTACTTCTACTGGTTCTTAAAGTAAAAAGTAAATTACAAAAGCCTGACTTGTACACAGTAGTGCCTGGAGGTAGTCGTTGCTAAGTGAAGGGGCAAGATGTAAATACTGGAACAAATGTAATAAGGCTGTGAGTGTATAACCAAACAAACCAAGTCATTTGGACAAGATTTTAGAGAAATACATACTTTAATTAACTCCAACGACAATGGTTAGCTAGATGCTCCCAAATTATGTATATCACGTGTGTGCAATGCTTTTCGTGAAAATAAATAGATTATCTTATAATAAATAATACTAACTCTATTACTAAATAGCAAATATTTAGTAGAGATGAAGGAGAAGTAATTTTAGTAAGTAATTTAGTTGATAAATATATCAACACTGCACTTACTCAATTGTAGTGAATTAATGTTAGATCTAACTTTTAATAATAAATAGGTAGATTATTAATAATAATTTATGCTCTGATAGTAAATTAATTTTAATAAAGAATTCTATTGTAGAAAGAATAATAATTTATTTGAAAATAAATTCTATACTTACAATTCATACACACTAAGTTTGTGCTTATCTATTATTTCTAAACTTTGCATATGATTCTTCATATTTTTTCAACATAACACAATGTATTATATGATTCAATTTCTAATAATTTTGTTAAAACTTCAAGTGTTTTTCATATTTGCTCAGAATAAAACAAGCCTTTTTATGATATTTTACTGATGTTAATGCGATAAATTAGAATCTAATTATGTTGTTATTTAACTATTTAAACTTCGTACTAACAAATGCTTTGTATCTTTTTTACTTGTTTAGTATCGGTATATCATTTGACCCAAATCATCTATATATAAGTCTACACAATAATGATACTCTATATATAAAAACACACTGCACGGTTAATGAATTTTTTATTTTAAACATCTTTTAAGGCTATTTCCTTAAATATTTATTTGTTATCCATATAGTACTTATGAAGAATTTGTTACGATCAAATCACATTATCAAATTGATGAACATTTTATATAATTTATTGTTCTCATTAGTAAATCTAGAACATAAAAATTTTATAAATGTTCTCTTTG